CAGTTCACTACCTTTGTAGATTGAATGCTCCAAAAAGATGATCCGAAAATTGGTCCGAGAAATAGTCCAAAAAATGGTTTAGTAGTCCAAGGCTCCCATGGTCCAATGTTCCAGTCATCGTTTTATCCTGTGCTATCCACTAAGCGTTTAGTGGCAAAGTCAATACTCGTACCAATATTTACATAATAGACATAGTATTAAGCTAAGCTGTAAGTAAAAAAGGTTTCAAGTTAAGCTCACGAATCACGTTTTGAAATCTGCATGTTCAGAAAGCCGCTAAATAAACTATTTACACCCAGTAAAAAAAACTTAAAAACACAACAGCAAAAAAGAGAAATTTACGAAAGTGCAGAAAGCACCATAAATATCTGCTCCCATAAATTTTACGCGATTAGCTCAGGTCGAAAATTATAACCTCGTACAACCTCGGTATTACACAGGAAAGACAGTTAAATCGTATACTCTATGAAAAGGCTGGGATAGGTTTGAATATCCTCCCGCACCAACCAACGAAAACAAGACAGAAATCAAAAGAAAAAACAAAACTAAAACAGGAACAAATAGATTAAAGCAAATTAATATGTGAAAATTACCCCTTTTTTTTCCTTATCACCACTTTGTTTAAATATTCTTGACAAAAATGGTATTGTGCTTCACACGACAAGCGTTACCGGGTCGGAGATTGGTTATAGTAGGCAGACCCGCCTTCCCCCGGCTCTTTTCTTCCGAAAGGTGAATGGAGTCTGCTAAATTTCTGAGCCGTACATGTATATGTACGTGACTCACAGACTTGATAATGATTATTGTACTTAAGGAGGTCGAGAGGGGGCATTATAGAACGGTTTAGGATTTCCACGCAATTCCCACGCAATATTTTCTGGTAAAAATGCTGTTTGTATATATACAGCCTGCTTAATTGAAAAATTCAATATCATTTTCCGTGATATTTCTGGGTCCGGTTAGGTACTGAAGAACATCGCGTGTTTCCTTGAAAATCTTATATTTATCACGATATTGACAAGCATCATATACTTAAACCATTGACCCAGCTATCTGACAATTTTTTTTGTTTTTAAATACAGTGACCTTTATTTACAGGGTTCACGTGTATTCCTGCGTTTTTTATTCATTTTTATTTTTTATAAAATCCTTACAATCAAGTTTTAACTGTGCTTAGATGTTTTTAAAGTATCTATTTGGTGGTTGTCATGTGTAAGAGGGTGGGTTTAAGGTAAGAAACTTGTTGGCACAAAAATGGAATTTTTCCAATTCTGTATACCTTTAAAGTGAATGTCGGAAGGACATTGACGTCACAAGCACCAATATAGTTGATTGATTGGGTAAGATTCAACTGTTAATCACTGTCAGTGTTAAGAAACTCCAGGTGGTGAGAACTCTGTTTACTTACTCAGCTCCTTGAGAGAGAAAAAAACTCGCCAGAAGAGAGCTAACTCTGCTTTTTATCTTCCCACCGAACATTTTTCAAAAGAACTGTTATGAGGCTGACCCATAAATGTGTTTTTCTTAAAGTCTGAAGAGCTATTGTCACGTTAACGATGACCGGCGGAAGCTGATAAAGAAAACGTCCCGTAAAGCTTTAATATAACCGGGTTGTATTTCCTGTTTTCATGTGATAAATTGATCCTTACACTATATCATAATTTGATTATTTTCAAAGACCAAACATATTTCACGAAAACTTAAACGACTACACGTTGCAGCGCAGAGGGTTTCTAAGACGTGATGGCGGAGGGACCTAGAACAGCACACATACCCACCTCTCGTGATTTATACAGGTGTCCAATTTTCAGGCAATACTCAACACAAGAATGGATTTTAGAGTACTGCCTAATGGTTATAACTGTGGGGTTTTTCATCCTGATTTCGCTATTGTTCAAGTTGTCGAAGCAATACCTGAGCACGTCAACAAATAAATTGGACTCTTCCTTTTTCTCGTCAAACTAAATGAGGAAGAAACGAAAAGTCAAGTGGTTCTCATAAAAATGCAAAAAAGATTGCAAACTGAAGAACAGTTTCCACAAAATTAATTTCGACTCAACTTGAACTTTGGAAACGTTTTGTAACAAGAGAAGAATGCAAGATGGGCAGAGGGTCGCGCAGTGAGCTAGAAGAACGCTGATTTGATGGGTCACATACATTAAATGGCTTTAACAACCTGCAAATGAGTCGGACGGCTGTGAAAAACATTGAACCTTGTCATGGATGTCCAGAGTACCGGTTAATTTTCAAGTTTTCTTACACTCTCTTTTGTTGGTTAGTCATCAACAGAGACAGACGGCAGTGGAAAGCAGAAACCCTTTTTAGTGGATAATTAAAAGTACAGACTTATTTTAAAGTTTTCTGTACTTTTTTTGTGAGTAGTCATTACAAATTTTACTTCATATGACTGCAGCTAATTTCGTTATATTTATTATTCGTGCATAGATTTTCGTCACTGGCAAAAGGGTCAAAATTCTAACAACTGTTGGCTGCGCCCAGGGCACTGAAGAGTTATTTGATCTGATCCAACTGAATAATAGTCTTGCGGGCAGTAAGTAAATTTATTATAAATACATTAACCGTAGAAAACCACCGCAAAGAGGGGTGTCATTTCCCCAAATTTGTATAAAGCTCAAAAGTGTACAATTTTGCTGGATTGCAATAAAGATCGTGAGTTTATCGTCGATCATCCATAACTGTAACTTATCGAATTTCCCTGGTTGTTAATGCACGTCGTTAATCATGTTTGGTGATAAGTCCATAGTGGGGGACGTTTTTGCAGGAGTGGTTAGAATTGAATCCTCACAACTAATAAAATATGGATGTGACAACATCTTGTTCCGGTCTGTGACATTTTCCCGTGACATTGTCAGTTCTCGAAATTATTCTTGCACAGCACACTATCGAGGTCACAGATGACTTCCGCCAATTTCGTGTTTGAGAATGATTTTCCACGTATCTCATGCAATGAAAACGAAGGCACTTTTCACGTTAACAAACACTGCACCGTAAGTCCAAAATTATTGTCTTCTGTGATTGCTGTTTTGACATAACGATCCTACCTAACGCAAAGGTTTGGTAGTTAGCTTGTTTATATCTGTTTTGTGAACACAAAATAATCGTCTTCAGGAAGATTAAGCAACTAGTACTTGATTGCTGAGAGGATACAAATTAAAACAGTTTAAAACGATAACAACAAAAAACGCACGCAGGAGTCGATGTATCTTTCGCAAAGCTGCCGCGAACGGATCGCGCAATCGATTCAAGTCAAAAGAACTAAACGCGTCTCTCGCTAGATGGCCAGTTGAGGAAGTCATCGCGATCGTGGCCAATCTACAAATATTAGATACCGAAAAAGGTGTCATGTGGATAATTTTTTGATATCCATCTAGATTACAGGGATGGGCACCACTTCAGTTCTCGCAACCATTTACACTTCTTTATAATCATGACCTGACAAGATAAAGCAATGATTCCGCTTGTGGGACTTCCTCTCTTTTACACTATATTTACGTTCAGATAAGTGATCTTCCTTGGCTCCTAGGGTAGATCCCTCAGCGAGTGACTTTAAACGGTCCCATGAGCTATCCATAATTTTTCAAAAGTACACAATTTGATCGCGTGCTTCGACACAAGTTATTACCGGCATAGTCTATCTGATCAAGACGTGCTTGTCACGCTAGAAATAGTGTTGTTGCCAAGATTTGAAAGCAATTTGCAACATGCACCTTCGTCAAGTTCGAACCTGGACTCCAGCTTACGATTTTATGATCAAAGTTACAATTTTAAATCGAACTGGGCATCTGTCAGTTTTTATCTAGGAGGAAAGTTCAACAGAGACGACGAATTCAACATCGAGCAAGGAACAAGCTATGTAACCTGAACATGTCCACAACTCACACGCCACTAAATTGCGTTGTTGGGTATTAATTGGAATTAGTCTATGAAAGCATCCAATTTCCCTGTTGTTGTGTAGTGATAAGATACTTCGATGAAAAAAAGCAAGTGAATAAACCGATAAATTGTCATAGAAATACACTATGGAGAGAAATAATCGAACGTGTTTGTTTCGAAATCAGCGTCACGTCTAATCCATTTCCACGTGCTCTGATTGGTCGAAAGACAGTGGTTATGCGTCATCCCATGTCATGCTGAGACAGGGACCTATCAGATGTCGATTTACATACAATTCTCTTACGTAGACCGGTAAACAACCGTAAATAGTCTAGTAGAAAGTCACGTTTCCTAAGCATAAAAGCGTAAAGAGAAGGGTAAGCTCTGCCTTTTAGCCTCTCAGCCACCGAGATCAAGATCAACTGTTTTCGAAATCCCTAAGTTCGTTAGCCTGCTGGATGAAAGACGACTTTTGAAGCTGCCAAGTAAGTCTGATGCCAGATAAATTCTATGGCACAATTATTTCCTCGTTTCCTCCAAAAGAAAATGGGCCGAGTTATAAATGAATTCAAAGTAAGATCTAGCCTTAGGCAAAACATTTAAAGTTAATTTGCTTTATGTAACAAAAGACATTGGAACGTGATTTCCAAGGTGAAAATGGACTTTACATCATTTCGTGAATACCGGCTCACTCGCACAATGGCCGTAATATAATCGAATAGCACTGATTATTTTGAAAGGCCATTTCGCTATCGTTACTGAATTGCAGGTAATCATTCGCGTCATCCATGCTATCGATCCATTGAAACCAGTCAACCACAATGAAAAATCGGTCCTGATGGCTGAAGCAAACGTCGACGAAGTTCTCTCTTCGGTTGTTAATCAGTTCACCGGACCGTAGATTTTGACTCTTTAAATAATCGAAATGAAAGCTCTCAAACAAAGTGCTATTCCCAGTATATGTAACCAAGAAAAAAAAAGCAAATTCAATCTGATGGACACGAACGGACACCCAAACATAGTGGCGGATATAAACGTATATCCTGAGGTGTCAGTTCATAGATTTTTTTCGTATTTTAAATGGAGTTTTGTTCTTATGTTATTATATGGTTCAATTTTGCACTGAACAGATGTCTTCGCCTCTGAAAACCAACGACTCCAATGGAGTAAAAGTGCGATCATATCAAAGCGCTGATTATAGGGATTGTCGAGAAATATTCACTCAGGGAATGGAGCAGTTGATCAAGCTTGTGGCACAGGTGGTCTTCCCCAGATACTGCTGGGTTCTAGCAGCTTTAAGTGCCTTTGTTTTTCTTGCTGCTTTTAAATATTCCCTGTGGCTTGTTCCTCTTTACATCTTCGCTTGCTTCGTTGTGCTGTCGCTTTTGTATGTGCATGTTTATCTGGAGTGTTGGAAATACATTAACTCCTGTTTGGCAACAGATTTGAAGAAGATTGAAACGATTTACATGGCCAATGATGGTTGCCACATGTGGGTGGCTGAGTGGAATGGTAAAGTTGTGGGAATGGTTGGACTCGTTCATAATGAGAGCCACAAGCCAGGAGTTGCTGAACTTCAGAGGATGTCTGTATCACCAGCCTGTAGAAGAATGGGAATCGCTGGGAAATTGCTCGATGAGCTACTAAAACATGCAAAAGAACAAAATTTCGAGAAGGTTGTTTTGACTACCACAAGTGCCCAGACACCAGCCATTCGACTTTACAAGAAATACGGCTTCAAGCTCATAGCATTATTTCCTTATCCTCAAAAGCTTCTGGCAGATCTGCAGTATTCTTCCTTCGACCTCAAACTGAATTATTAGAAGTCTTAATTAACCCTTCAACTCTCAAGATCTACATATCAATTTCCTGCTTCTAGTCCAACTCTACCTCTGGGGTTAAATCGAACAATATTCACATGTTACGATTTTTCTTCAACCTAACCTCTCTCTGCTTCAAAATGTAACGAAGTCGTATGTGATGGAATGTAACCTGTTGAGGTACTGCTCAAACACGAAACCGGATTTTACATTTCAAAACAATTCTCCTTATCCACTTCCTCGAACGTTAAGAGAGGCTGTCGAGAGCGTGCTCAAAATCGATCAGTACAATTTTTTTTTTATTCAATCTCGAAACGATTTCATTTTGTATAATTTTCAATTGCAGGTTGTGTAGCCCTAAGTTGCTTGAATGTATACATGCCGACGGATGGCATGGGTGATCAAATTTGACAAAATAAAATAAGAAAAGTTGTTATAACTTCAAAACCTATTCATTTGCATTCTCGTGACTCACTTTCTCCCTAGTTCAAACAAAATTCTTTAAAAATTATAAGAAGAACTAAGCTTCTCAAACCTTGAAACAAAATAATCCTGGTTAGATTTCTACTGTAAGGAGTGTCACGTTAAGATTAAGTTACCGGCGACAGGAAACCCTCAAGGTCGAGTTATTAAAAGCGGCGATTTGAGGAAACGATTCGGCGTTATGGATATGGATATACAAATAGCAGTATTGTCATGCTTTTGAGTAGCACTAAATGACTAGACATACCCGGAAATGCTTAGAAACTAAGTCATTTCCTTGACCGTAAGTTCCTTAAAGTTTTCAATTATCTTGTTTCACCCGTACAACAATCGTGTTTAAATTGTTCTTAATAAGTCATTTCAATTGAAGCAAAACCTTCCGTTTAACCATAATTTAAATATCTCGATGACCTCATGTCTCCACATTATGGAGACGGATGCCAGGGTGTTTGGGTGATGGATTTCGGTCCGGTTGCTACGGTTAAAATATCTCCCTAACCACTAACTTGTTTGTCGACAACACTGAATTCAGCTCTTCATTCGTGCGGTTTTGAAAGGCCCTATATTGCTTCAGCCCAATTTCAAAATTACCTATTTCGGGAAAATACTGCCTATGCCTCTCCAAAGAAACCGCATTTTGCTTTGCTTTGATTTGTTTGTTTGTTTGTTTGTTTAATAAGAAGAAATTGAGTGCTCCCTATGGGTGCCCCCGGTGAGTACTCCCACCCCCTGCCTCATTCGAAAAAAATATTACAAAAATGAAAATGAAGCGTCCACACAATAAAACTCTGCTCGCCTTTTGGCTTAAGACCTTAGCAACAGGTGCTAGAAAGCGAAAACAAATATCCCGTGACACTGCTTTATGAGAGCATGGCTATATATATCTCTTTTGTTCGCTATAATAGGTCAACTATTAAATCCTCCGTGCGTATCTTGAAAACAAAACGTGTCTCAGTTTCTAGAGAAGAATGAATTTGATCACTATAAGTTAAAATGTGCACGACACTGACTATTTCAAATCGACAAACAAAGCCGAAGAGAAAGGATTTTTTTTTTCTTTAATATAAAGGAAGTACGCCAGCCATAACGGATTTAGGAGGTGGACGCAGCCATGGATTACTCACGCGTCAACCGAGTCTCATTGAGAGGTGAATCCAGAGACCCCAGAACAATAACAGCACCTGAAATACTGCTGGAGTACAGCTTGGTTATTTTGTTGGTGGGATGTTCTTCACTGGCGTTCCTTTGGTTTAAGCCTCATGGGAACCCAATGGATTCTACATTATTTACTTCTGTTGGTATCAACTACACAGCATGAACTGCACCCACTGACAGAAAATCTACTAACAGGCGAAGAAAGAAAAGAAACCATGCAATTGCTATACAAAAACTGTGTAAAGCGAAACATTTAAAATATATCACAAACTGCGACATGGGAAAAAATGTTTTCCGCAAGATTTTTTAGCCGAAAGACACCTTAATTTACATTTCTGCCGTCACGTGCTTCACGTGGACAATAGGAACCTTAAACAGTCAGGACGGCAACACTGAAGGAGACGTCGAACAAAATCTGAATTTGTCTTTTTAGTTAAAAACGGCGCTACACCCTTACTTAAGCATAAGGTATGTAAGCAGTGTCGAGTTCAATATGGAATCTTAGATAATTTGTTGGCAGGATTTCCGTTCTCAGACCACGAAAACTTTAGTGATTTCACGTCGTCTTGCAGAGGAAGGCTAAGAAATATTCAAAGTTTTAAAACATACGTGCTGAGCTATTGTTCTTCTAATCAGATCTTTTGTTTTTCCACGTCCTTCTTGCGGTAGACGTCGAGGTTAGCTTAGGGTTCCCAGTAAGTGACATAATCCTAAATTGAATGACTGTATCTATAGTAATGGATGACGGGATCCATCTTGTATTGATGGTCAAAAGAAAAACTTAGAGCCTTTGTACATACAGAAAAACATGGGATATTAAAGCTTTAAATAAGTTGTTTAAGGTTATGTAGGATCACAGATGTATTTCAAATGTACCGTGAGGTGTAATAAAGAGGAGAGAGTAAATGAAGAGTTTTTAATGACGAAGGCTGATTTCGATGAACTGCACGTTTCCCCCGAAGCTGAAAAACGACTGTAAGTTACCGTAAGAGGGTCGTTTACGCGTTTTATCTCTTCCACGAGACACAAATTTGGCACTGATTTATTCAAATAGGCCATTAAAAGATGATAGCACGACCTTTGAAATGGTCAGATGTTCAAGGCAGAAGTTGCTTGTTGCACGTTCCGTAATATAGTTGTTCACGTGTTCTCTCATGTGCCAGAGACGCCAGGTCATCAGGGTGGGTCTGTTTTCTTCAAAGACACCGCTACAAGTTAACATCACGACCTTTGAAATGATAAATGTTCAAGGCAGCAGTTGATTGCCCTGGCATTCTTTTTTTGGTCGTGATCACTTAAACGGGGGTCTTAGGGGTCTTAGGGGTCTTCCGGTCCGTGGATTTGATAATATTCTTAAATTCGTTTCAACTAAGAGTATACTCGTGGTTCCAAAATAAAAAAATTGAAAAAATTGAAAAAAAAATTGAAAAAAAAAACTACTAGTGGTATGACTGCTTTGTCAATACAACCCAACAAAGTTCGACGCAGCATTGTTACATAAGTCCTATGTCCAGCAATTTCAAGGGATTTAGAGATCCTCCCTGACGACGGGTCAAAAGAGATAAATTCTAGGAACTGGAAACCTAATAACCACAAGTGCGCTTAGGGCAAGAGGTTTTGAAACTAAAGATTAAGAGTTCTGTGCAGGTCAAAGGTGCAAACTCTCATTACCAGTGACGATATATTACGAAATACTACAATAGTTGAACAAAAACCATTCACCATCACTACACAACTGAGTGCACTGTATTAGAAAAACTTTTTATGCGTTCGCAATTAATGGATTACCCAAAGCCTTTAAACTATTTATTAGTTTGACTTAGACAAATGAAACACGATGCTCCTTTCCAGGAACAAAAGGAACAAATTATTAGACGAGCCTTAAATATTACTCAGTAAATTTTACAACTCCAGCTCAAAGTCATACAATCGAAGGTTTGTAGGAAGTAGCTGAGGAAACGGACGGACATTCACAAGTTGAAAGCCGTGCTTCCTATAGAACCGATGAGCATCTTTATGCGCACTGGTCGTATCCAAGAAAATTCTATCACAATGGTGAATTCTTGCGTAGTGCACTGCCCTCTCGAGCAGTTTCGTTGCAACACCCTTCCCCCTGTATTTAGAAGAAACATACATTCTTTTTAACTCGGCAATCTTGAGTTTATAGCTCTCCTTTTCAAAAAGTCCAATCATACCAACAATTTTGTCACGCCACACAGCCACCCAAAAGTGACTACCGCTTTGGATCATGTAAGAGTTCTTGATGTTTTTTACATCTTCTTCCAAGGATCTATTTATGAATTTCCAGCCTTGGTTGAAGGCATTAAGGTAAAATATTAACACAGTAATGAGAACAATTCCAAGATATATGCAGATAGTGTAAAAGGACCATGAAAAAGCCAGGGAGAGGAGTGTGAAGACACTCTCGACCCCAACGTATGCACAATATCTTGGCAAATCCATCCGCAAAGCGTCTTTTATCCATGTCTCACAGCATTTCGTGAAGATTTCTTGGCAGATTTGCTGGTCGAAACTCTGAAAAGAGCGTATATTAACATCGTCTACAACTGATTGATCTCCAATTTGGTTTTCTCCGGGTCTAATCCTAAGATGACGAATTAAATTTATTTGCAAAGTCAGGCTTAGTATATTAAAGAACCAAATGCAAGTTATGGTAACAGTTATCACTTCGACTGTGAATTTATGAAAATCATATCTGTGAACTGCGGATAAAGACGTAAATATGAAAGCGATCTTCGCAGTAATGTTCACTACTTAAGCAGTAGTGAAAATAAGGCATGAAAAAAATTTAGGCCTGTACGCGAATTGAACCAATGACCTTTGCGATACTGGTGAAGTGCTCTACCAGGGAGTTGATCATTATGTTGGTTCCGGAATAACCCGTGAAGTAATTCATCACTTCACGGGATATCCCGTACAGCCCTAAATTTTTTTCAGGCCTTATTTTCTCTACTGCTCAAGTAGTGTAAATCACTACGAAGATCGCTTTCATATTTAAGTTATCATTTTTTCGGCTTTTGTCTCCATTAAAATTCAGACCGATTTTAGCCACCATTAAAAGGCGACCAGTAGTTACAAGGATAATTTTATTTGTAAGGATGAAGCAAAATCCTCGTCACATGAAATAATCAAATATCTATTGAGAATTATGAAAAAAACGCAATGAGAAAATGGCAAGTTGTGAGGTATATAAACTGCTTGGTTCAGCGTTATAGAATTTCCATGATAACTTACTCCTCAGCTCAGCAGCTATAAATCTGTAGTTTTTAGTACCACAACAACTAAAGTCAGCGTTCCCATTTTTAAATTGAATTTAACTGATTAAACATCTGTTTACGACCAAAAATTGCATAAATTAACGTCAAAGGTCACACACTTCAGAGGGACGTGACCACGAATCTTTTACTGAGGACAAAATTTTTTTGTTGCCAAACATAGTGCTAAAATAGGTCTATCCTTTAATGGTATGTTTGTCGACATAAAATATTGCCCATCGGAGATATTTGCAATTAAAAAACCTTAATTTTTCTTGTTTCGAATAGTTTCGTGACACAGTAAATACGGCTCTAAATTAACAGAAGTTAAATTACCCCAACTTTCGAGTTAATTGGACAAAATAAGAATAAAATCCTTCACGTTCTGTAAGGGTGAGAGAGATTCGTTAGAAGTGCATTTCCTAGCTGATTAATTCTTGAATTACTTAGTGACTTAAATCAAATTGAGTGTAAATCAATTGATGAAAATTGATTAAGCATATAAATAAAGTCTCCCTACATTTGATACTGTAATTTGCTCCTTTTTTTCGGAATTTAAAGTGAAGGGATCCAGGGTCTAACTGAGAATTGCTCCACCCTAGCGAAAACAGATTTGATAACAAGCTAAAGATGATTCCACCGGTAGCTTTATAAAAAGTCCGTGGTTTCAAGCAAAATTTGCATATAGTAACGCCGTCCAATATCGATGTAGAGCAATGATAGTATTATGATATTTTTTTGCCAGTGCCTTACTTTAGTAACTTCGAGGGAAAAAAAATTCGTATGCTTAATCTTTGAAGGTGCATGTCACATTTATTACGCAATTCATGTGGCAGCCAGTCAAAAACACCTCATTTCAATTTTCAACCGTGTATAGATTAGCTTTCTTAAAATTCGAGAAAGTGTTGCAGCTTCCTTTAAAATCATTTTGACATCTATCATTACAGTATAACTTCGCGAGAGACCAAATTAGACTGTAATTAAGTGGCTTCGGTTTTTCGATATCATGAAATTATTACGGTGAATCGTTTAAGACATATTCAACCTTACATGCAATGCTTGTCCACCATTTTTACTTCAATCGTAACTCCTTAGTACAAGTTGCACATCCCACTTAGACTTGATTATCAATTGATATTTTGGCCGGGAAATAACAAAGGGAGTCAAAATATTAGAATAGGAACCTTGATCTATGATCTACCATTTGAAAATAGATTACTTCAAATTTATATGTTCGAGATATCAAATTAAACAAGTCCACATTGTGCGATGAACACAAGGAGTTCTGTGTCTTGACAATGTTCAATATCGTCTGGTAACTTCGCAGAATAAATGAATCACATTTAAGTAAATGTTATAAAATTCAACATACCTCCACGAAGCAACGTCATTGACCATTTTCCTAGAGCTCCTTCCCGATACGGTCGGCGATCCAAAACGACAGTCCGACCTCTCTGCGTTAACAGAGAGGAAAATCAGTACTCTTCTCCAGTTACGTGACTGTTGACAATAGATTCACATAATCAGCCGCTGGACATGTAAGCTCGCAGGATTTTTTTTTTTTTTAATTTTAGTGGGGGAGGGGGGAAGGGAGGGGGAGAACTCTTGTAGGTGGAAAAGGTAAGCATTCTAACGAAATTGCAGCTTTTAATCCATTTATCAAATAAAATGAAGTTCAAAATATTAAAAACTTAAGGATTCTTGTTTTCGCGTTGTTACGCAGTCTGTGCCATTATTGTCACACAACCTTGTCACGCATGGTGTCGATATGCCTAAATTGTTTCTTTTGTTTTTTGTTTTGTTTTGTTTTTTAATATATGAGAACCTTTTTAATAAGAACGTTTTGGCTGAGATAAACCACTATTTTAAAAACATGCTAAGAGCTTAGTTAAGAACGACTATTCTGCCCATATTTTACTTTTGTGAGAAGTATAAATAAAGGTTAATGAAATATAAAAGTGTGATCTGACAGGAAAATAAACTCAAATACCTAGGGAAATTTTTGACATTGATTTATTGAAATACTAAACCACACAACTTTAAGAACATATTAAGAACGATTTCAGGCAAAAATCGCAATAAAGCATAAGAACGTTCAGCCTCAGTCCCAAAATTAGATGTTCATATAAAAATACATTTATATAAAAAATTATAATAACAGCTTAACAGTAATAAAAAGAGTGTGTTCAAGCTCAGCTTTCCCGCAAGCCGAACATCAACCTTACATTATAATGCTCACAAATGCAACTACGTCGATGAACGGCGAAAAATAAATCAACCTTTAAATTCCAGGATTAAGTAGAGCTGTAGAATGCAAATCTTAAAGCGATTTAGAAATTTAGCATTAATCAGCAATTTTGCACACTCAGAGGATGGTATTGTTCTGCATGGAACATTTAAAATTTAAAGTTTTTAACGTCACAAGTCACTTCTTTTTCAAGTTTCTCTCGCTTTCTGCTGATTCAGTAAAACTCGACTGGAAAACTATCTGGTATTCTTGGACAAATTTTATTCAAAGAGACATTTCTGTGAAAAAAAGAAGAGTGCCTATTGACGAAAAGAGTTTTTCAATGTCCCTCAATTAATAAGGTCGTTCACGCGTAAAATAAAAGAACAACCACTGGTAAGACCACCTCCCCCCTACGCGTAAACAAAGTTCAGCACAGTCTTGTTCCATAGGCCCAAGCATCTAGTGACCGCTTAGTAGATGTGAAAATTACAGTAATTGAGGAGAAACAAATTTTGGACTTTGATAACCGACACGCCTAACACAGGGTGAACGCTCAATACAGGTTCGACTGTGTTAGTTTGACTTAATCAAAGAAGAAATGATGCATTCTACTGTAGGTACAATTTATTTGATGGTCCACCTTTTCGTTTTTTTTCCTTTAATTTTTTCTTTAATTCTCTCTCTCTCTCTCTCTCTCTCTCTCTCTCTCTCTCTCTCTCTCTCTCTCTCTCTCTCTCTCTCTCTCTCTCTCTCTCTCTCTCTCTTCCTTTCTTGCGATGCAAGAGCCACTTACGGCAATGCAATATGACCCAATGCCTGACAATTTCTCAAGATTGAGACGAGCTTCAATATCACATTTTAAATTTTCCAACTCTGGCTTAAACTCGCAGATTTGCAGGTATAAAATATATTGAAATATCAATAAAAAAATCAATAAAAGCCTTCCATCTGTTACGTCTTTGTTTCTTTTGGTTTGTTTGTTTTGTTTGTTTTGTTATTGTTTCTTTTTTCAGCTTTTCTCGTTTGTTTGTTTGTTTGTTAATTTTTTTACGGGCTCAAGCGGTGCGCATGGGATGGATAAATCCAGGTGCAAAGGTAAACAAAGACGACACATTTCTCGACCATTTCCTATATTAAACTTTATTACCCATGGAATGTGTTTCATCGCTCGTACATGCATCTTATGCTGCATCAGTAGGCCCTACAATTTTCGAAACGAAAAGCACTGGTTTAAGAAAGGGGGAATTCGTACACTTCCATAGAAAAGGCAGATGATTTGTCGAAACATCTGAAAATACACAGTTATGAAACATTCGTTATCGTGGATTTTGAGGTGACTTTTGTATGAGGACCATCATTAAAAGGTTACGTGTTTTTTATTCCAACACGTTCGTTCCTTTTTCTTATGATACGTTCTCAGTCAGTTGCAGGAGCAGCGATGACACGAGATGATTTACACTGCGTAACTTGAAAACAGCTGTTCAGTGATAGTTCAAGCCATCAGAGCATTTCCTACGTAGCTGTTCCAATATGAGAAGCGTGGTTGTTATTCACATTATCCTCTTTCTGTTCTCAATTTCTAGAATTCTCCGGAAACTTGAAAACAGCTGTTCAGTGATAGTTCAAGCCATCAGAGCATTTCCTACGTAGCTGTTCCAATATGAGAAGCGTGGTTGTTATTCACATTATCCTCTTTCTGTTCTCAATTTCTAGAATTCTCCGGAGAAATCCTCCTTGACGCCGGAGTATGGAATTCCTATGTCATCATGGCACTAGCCTCTTTTCCTAAGGCTTTATTCCTAGTTTGAAACTTTGTGTCTCACGAGGCAAACCGCAAGGAAAATCCCCAGGACTATGACAAGCATGGCGAGTTCTAGAAGGACCTCCGGAGCTCCGTATAGTCTCTCAAGTCGAATTCGGCCTGTCGTAGAACGGATGTCAAATTGCCGTTCAAAGTCTTCGGTATTGGTTCGTGTTGTGCGATCTATGGCTACCGGCACGCTGTGCTTTAGACGAGTAGTGTCCATAACTACAGTTAGAATATCCTCGCTACTCTATCTCCTCTTCAAGTTCGGTTTTCAATCTTCTTGCTCCAGGATATGCGACTTTCTTAAGTATGTTACTCTTAGACCGCAAAGAGAGAGCCACTTGCGTCAGTGCCCCGTGCCAGTGACGTGAAAATATGTAATCCCTCTCAAAAATGATCTTGTTTCTGGCGATCGCGTCTGGAGGTGCCAAGATACACGTTATTTTTGAATCGCTCCCCACTTACGACCGAAAAGGTCGGTGTAAGGTCAAGTGCAGTTATTTTCAATTAGGTGTTTCGGGAATTTTCGAGGAAGCAACACGCAAGCAATCGCCATGCACGCTAACATAAAGAAAGCCTCTCCCACGTTTTGTCAGTGTGAAAGGGTTCTTGTGTCGCTACACTTATCTCCATAACCCTGTTTTCAACATCAAAACGAGAAACACGAATTTTCTATGAGTGTATTTTCCTTCAACTGTAGATTGATCTTTCTTAAGTCCCAAGATTGCTTGACGTCATCATCACCATGGATACGACAAAGGTCTTGCAATACGGGAAGAAAGGAGGTTACGAGCAGAAATGAGATTACACCGATGATTGGTGAGTGATGTGCATTTAAAAATAATAACATAGCGATAACTTTGACACATGTTTCGCTGCAGCTTCGATCAATCAATACTCATTGCAGAAATAATTCTCAACTACTTCGCAGGACAAACTTTTCCGCTGAAACTGAAGTTTTCCTTGGCAATGTTTCAAGACGTTTGGGTTCTTGGTTTCCTTATTTGTCTAAAGGGATATAATTTAAGAGGTGAAGTGACTAGAAGACATAATGCTTTCCGGTCTCCCGCCGGAAAACCAAAATAGGCACTAGCAGGTATTCATAGCTGTGATTACCCTAAGTTGCGAAATAATATCAAACTGTCCTATTAATCCTGACTTAGAGGTAAACCAATGCTTTTGTTGATGTGAAACTTGACGCAGGTGAAGTCTAAAAAAACCGAAAGATAAAGCTTGTTTATATCATGAAGGGAATGAATGACGAGCCGTAAATACATTCATTTCTTTAAGTGTGTTGCAAGACTTTCGTTACAGAGCTGTTGGGAACTTGTGATGACCTTACTTCACAACTAGTCGCGGTTCTACTTCGGTGCATGAGCAAATGTAAACAAGTCTCACTGGGTTTCCTTGCGCCGAGTTAATATTTTTCCCAAATTTTCATCAATGTAATAATCCTCCAGTCACCCCAATTCAACTCGTGTCTGATTGAACATATCCCAAAGGTATATGTGAAAATTACATGAAAGAAAGAATCGGTATTACTTCATTCCAAGACCGAAATGTAACAACTGACTCTAAAAGTAATAAAGACCTAGATGAAATAAAATTTGGCTCTACCTGTAACAAACTCGTGAGTGTGAAAACTGATTTGGACTATAACATATAATAAATTCGTGAAAAATGACAACAATGGAACATAAATGCATTAAGGTTAGACTAACGTCGTCAAGCAATGCTAAAAACTAGGCAAAATGACTCACAATTTCTAACAGCTAACAAGAACGAGAGTGATGCCTTTTTTGTTAAATTTCTATCGTTTCATGTAGCAGGTGCGTATCATTTACAAACTCACTTTTAATTCCTTTAATTTTGTTCTTACTTCTGTTTGAGCCGAAAAGAATTCAAACTATATGTTTTGACTTCTTTCACGAAGACGGCCATGAACTTACACTGGTAGGAAGTTGACGCCACGTCAAAATCAGTCACATGAAAGTGAGTACTAGAGTAACAGATGGTGTGACAGACCACGTGGTCGTTGTCAAGCCCAGTGTGTTACTTCATGACGTGTCACTTACGTTATTAATGGCGTCATTGTAACGTGACATTTTAATGTTGTCACACTTGAGTCATTTGGACGTTGTCGTCCTCTAGTCATTTGATTGACCATGAATATGATCATTGACGTGACTGACAACGTGATAGATTACGTGACAGATCACGTGGTTGCATTGGTTAACGACGTGTTAATTGCGTTACTGTAATAATCATTGTAACATTTACTTCCAAGCACGTGGTTGCATCGGTTAACGACGTGTTAATTGCGTTACTGTAATAATCATTGTAACATTTACTTCCAAGCTTTGGAGTTTAAAGCCCAAGGTTACAACTGGGACTTAAAAACATTTGAGTCTGCAACTCCTAACCAATGGGTTGGTGTCACTGCAGCCTGTCGTAAGGGGCTGGGTTTAACAAGAGTTTTTCTGAAAATTCACCTCTTCCTATATCTCTCGTCACCTTCCCTCTCTACTTCCAAAACTCAAAACCAAGTACAATGCATTTCGAATTTGACTATTTATTTCCATCCTTTAAACTCTACTTTGCGCATAAAATGTATCATAAAATAATTAGGAAGTAATTACTAAGAACATTTCTTCTAACATTTCTCCATAACTACAAAGAAAGTTTTCGACATATCAACCCCCAACACCAGAAACATCTTTCTTTCGTAATTTTGATGCCATATTCTGTCTTATATTTACTAAAAAGTTCCCGAAAATTCCCTAGTCATTAAAAATAATAAAATTTTCCGCTTTGCAATGGACTCATAATAATTACGTAATCGCATTTTGTTAATACAATCCAGGTGCACACTAATATGGCACTTCTATACTTGCCACATATAAAAATGAAAACAAACTACTTATATTTAAACTAAGATAATAGTAAGGATTATGTATCCATCACCAGGAAGGTCTAGCTTTTATTTTAAGCCGGAAAAACAAAATCACCCAGCTTCGTCTCCACATGAATTGTCTCAATCCCCATAAAGCAGCTTAATCAATTATAGTATTTCGTATTTTTTTCTTGGAGGGGGGAAGCATCAAAAACTGATTTCATACTCGACATTTTGGAACAAACAGTTCAACAAGATCGCAAAACCTTAAAGGGGGCACTGATATGACAAGAAGGAACAAGGATGGAAGAAGATGAAGAACCTTCACGGGAATTATTTAGAGTTTATTGTTAGTTGAACGTGGTCAGGAATTTGTAAATCTCGCATACTGAGACTATGCAGTTTGGCTTCTTTTCTGTAGCTTGGCCAATGGCCAACAATACCTACTCTGTGTACTCACTTATCACAGCTTATTTGAAAGTACAGGAAATTTCGATCAAGTGGGAGAAATGAAATCCATTCTCAGTAACGACTTGATGAAGCTATCTATGCCGAATCTGCGCCAAGAGGATGGAAGGCCTTCATGTCGTGGAAAGTAATGGGAGTAGAGGAGGTAAGGTAGCCCACCTTAATCTAAGTCTTTCATTTTTTGAAACGTAATAATAATATGAGTAAAATAATGCGAATGAATGCATGTTTTTTACCGCCTAACTCCAAATGCAAGACCACCACAATAGCTGAAGGAATATGTTTGAGTTTTAGATTTTATTACTGAGTTATGCGCTTTGAATTCAGGATGAGAAAATTGTCATTTATCAATAAAAACACCATTTGCTTTAATAATTCGACGCTGCTGAAAACTTAGATATGGTCAGAATTAATTAGCTTACCTCTCCGTTCTTTCATTAAGGAGTGTAGCAAGGACATTCACCTAAATATTGATGACAAGTTAAATCCAAATCCATAGTGGACAGTTTAGAGGAAGAAATAACAACCAGGGTCATAACTCGAGTTCAAAGCAATAGTGTTTCAGATCACTAAGAAGCTTTTTAGGATAAGGAATAGAGGTTCTGAGTTGGAAGCCGTATTTCTTGTACAGTCGAATGGCTGGTGTTTGTGCACTAGTGGTGGTAAGCACAAGCTTCTGAAATTGCTGATCCTTTGCGAATTTGATCAGTTCGTCGAGTAGTTTCTTAGCGATTCCCATTCTTCTACAGGCTGGTGATACAGACATCCTCTGAAGTTCTGCCACTCCTGGTTTGTGACTTTCCTTGTGAATAAGTCCAACCATTCCCACAACCTCACCATTCCACTCAGCCACCCACATGCGACAATTTTCACTAGACATGTAGCATCTATCGATGTCCTTCAGGTCCGTTGCCAAACAAGAATCGATGAAGTTCCAGCATTCCATATACAGCATTGAATACAACGAGGCCGCCAATACGACGCAAGCAATCATATAGAGGAGAAAAAAGCTTACGATCCACTTGATTGCGAGGGCAAGAACGAGAACAACGACGCTGCATGTCGATAGAATCCAGATATATTTCGGGAAAACAACGCGTGCTACTAGGCTGATCAACTGTTCCATTCCATGAGTAAAAATCTCTCGGCAGTCGTGAAGGTCTGTGTTTTTGAATTTCCTAATCAGGACTTCATTACCACTTCTAGGTAAAGCGAAAGATTGCAGCTGTGCATTCATCTTACCAGTGAGCATAAGTTGGTGCTGTCTATCAGTCTATTAAAGAGACAAGGTAAATTGGCTTAATCTTGAAATTAAATATTTTGTGCAATTTACTTACTTTGTATCAGTTTTTCTCGCTCCTAAGGCAGTTTATTTGTCAATTCACTCCATGCGATCAGTTGATAGCCGGCTTGCAATATAGCAGCTGGCGGAATTGGGTATGCAATCCTTCCGAAGGGTAAGCTGAGTGAAGGAAGTTGACGAGGACATCCATTGTTGAAAAAGTCTTCGAACAAGAGGGATTTCAGAATCGATCTTTCCACTTTAAATCTTAAATCAGTCCAGATTTAACTTCTTTACAATACATTACACAATTATTTGCCTATGGAATCTGCAAAGCTTAGCTTAAAACCTTATAACTTCAGTTCACCCCCTATTGCGATGGCTGCTTTTAACTTGGTTACCAGACTGATCCACATACATTCAATGGTGAAGACAATAAATCATGTGTTTTTTTTTCTCTCAATGGAAAACCTTTTCTCGTATGCTGATATGTATCCACAGAATATCATATTTAAGATCCAGTTGCCTTCCCACAAAATACTTCCAAGATATCCAAATTGAAACTACTCTAACGGTGTTTCGCCCCGCTGCTCTAGCAGTCTGTAAGAGTTATGTGACTAAGCTCCAAATGTTTGAAAAACATATCTCAGCCAGAACTTTTCTTGCGCATAAATGTGCCAAAAAAACAGAGTTACGGTCAATAGTTTAGTCCTAAAATGATACACCAGATACACCAGAGACGAAAAGAGTATACTGAAAAATGACTCACTTTCTACGTTGTCTTCAGCAAAAAAAGCTTCCCTCTCTCGCCTCCTGCACCGAAATCAGCTAGCAGAGCAGAAGTTTACGTTAAAGTGAACGTAAAGGAAATTAGTTTCGGATATCAGGTGATTCGATGAGGATTTTCTTGTTCTAAACTTGTACGTGCTGGTATTGTAATTGAATATAGGCTGGCAACAATTTACCTTTGATTGCCTAAAATAACTTCATGCCATTCATACTTTTATCAAGTATCAAAGAACTCAACATCGTAGAAACCTCAGCTAAAAGCATAGGAGCGGTTTACGTGCGCTATAACATGTCTTTCACACGATGGTTTAACACCGTTTTAGTTGCTGAGCAACTAAAACATACGGGGTTTGAGTCTCTTAAATTAGATGACCTAAGTTAAGAGATTTCGGTCTCGATCTTCACTTATTTCAGTTGTTTGAATTACGGGTTTTGATATAGCTCTAAAAAGCACAGAGAGTACAAACTCTGATATGACTCTGAGCAACTAAAACATACGGGGTTTGAGTCTCTTAAATTAGATGACCTAAGTTAAGAGATTTCAGTCTCGATCTTCACTTATTTCAGTTGTTTGAATTACGGGTTTTGATATAGCTCTAAAAAGCACAGAGAGTACAAACTCTGATATGACTCTGAGCAACTAAAACATACGGGGTTTGAGTCTCTTAAATTAGATGACCTAAGTTAAGAGATTTCAGTCTCGATCTTCACTTATTTCAGTTGTTTGAATTACGGGTTTTGATATAGCTCTAAAAAGCACATAGAGTACAAACTCTGATATGACTCTGAGCAACTAAAACATACGGGGTTTGAGTCTCTTAAATTAGATGACCTAAGTTAAGAGATTTCAGTCTCGATCTTCACTTATTTCAGTTGTTTGAATTACGGGTTTTGATATAGCTCTAAAAAGCACAGAGAGTACAAACTCTGATATGACTCTGAGCAACTAAAACATACGGGGTTTGAGTCTCTTAAATTAGATGACCTAAGTTAAGAGATTTCAGTCTCGATCTTCACTTATTTCAGTTGTTTGAATTACGGGTTTTGATATAGCTCTGAAAAGCATAGAGAGTATAAACTCTGATATGACTCTGAGCAACTGAAACATAAGGGGTTTGAGTCTCTTAAATTAGATGACCTAAGTTAAGAGATTTCAGTCTCGATCTTCACTTATTTCAGTTGTTTGAATTACGGGTTTTGATATAGCTCTGAAAAGCACAGAGAGTACAAACTCTGATATGACTCTGAGCAACTAAAACATACGGGTTTGAGTCTCTTAAATTAGATGACCTAAGTTAAGAGATTTCAGTCTCGATCTTCACTTATTTCAGTTGTTTGAATTACGGGTTTTGATATAGCTCTGAAAAGCACAGAGAGTACAAACTCAATTATAATTACGTAATGAAAAATTTTCATAAATGCTAATCTCACAAAAAAAAAATTGTGGACAACAGGCATGTGGATCTTTATTTTTATCATAATTTCGATCGTCATGGTTATCACTATCATTATTAGGGTTATTAGCATTCTTATTACTATTCTTGTTGTTAGACAGCAGTTGGTGAAAGTTAAAGTCGGCCATCTACCCACTGGTAACGTTAGAGTAACTCCAACAGATGTTGCAGAGAACTTAGGTACATGGTTCGATGCGAACGTGAGTCTCACTACACATATTAATAAAACATGTAATGCAGCATTTTATTTTTTACATAATTTAAGGTGCGTTAGCAATGTTAGTTCTGCATTAGTAATGGGAAGAATAGATTATTGTAATAGCCTTCTTTTTAGAGTGCCTGATATTTATTTAAATAAGCTAAGCTGCAAAGAATTCAAAATACAGCAGCCAGGTTAGTTTGTCTGTTATATAACACCAGTTTTACGTTCTTTGCACTGGTTGCCCGTTAAATTGAGAATTAATTTCAAAATTTTAGTTATTTCTTTTAAGGCTATTAATGGTATGTTAGTCATGGATTGTTTTTCTACCATATTATTTTATAATTATTTTGATCCGCTTTGTTTTCTAATTTCTCTTATATATTTTACCATTTTACATGAACAAGAAATGGAGATTGGAGAGAAAGCAACAACTACTAAATCTAAGGCAAAAGCAGACGAGTGAAAGATTCTTTCGTGACTAAGAACTCTGAGATCGTCGCGTCATTAGGGCATTAATATTAGGCCGCTGCTCTTGTTTGTTGAGGCACGACATCCCAAAATATTTGAGACATTGATGAACACAGAAGCCTTTGGAGAAAGGTCATTTCGTGGACCACCTTCTCGCACTCTGGTCTGTTGCACGAGTAAATCATTGCCTATCATTGCCTGGGTCGTTGACGGACAGACAGACAGTTATCATTGGCAATTTTGTAACATGAAATGTGTCCTTCTTTCATGCGATGGATTACGCTTAAACAAAGGAACAGCCGTGGCGTAACGCCACAAATTTGTACGATCCCGCTCCCGAAATTATGCCAGCTTTTTTCGCATATCAACCGCCGAGTTGATTTCCAAGGGAAATGGCAAAAGGTTGTTTTAACAAGCAACTTTGCATTTCTTATCAATGATAAAAGAAGCTGGAAATATTTTTGGCGTATGCAATAGATGTATGGCCTCTCTAACAACTCACGGCTTTACCACCTTTAAATTCCAGTTGAAAGCGGGCAAAACAACAAAATATTACCTTGCAATATCTGTTTTACATGTCTCCCCAAAGATTCTTGAAAAACACTTGGTCAGCTCTCTACTGTGTGGATTCCTTATGTAATAACAACTTCTGCATGATCTACAAACAGCCCTTTGATCAGGACATTCTACATATCTCAAGCTCCTCCCAAAAGTTGTCTATTTAAGGTGTAACCCCTTCGTTTGCTAAGTTAACTGGTTTGAATCTCATTTGTCTGAGAGAAAGCGATAGATCTCATTAGAGAAAACCATATCCGGACAATTGGCTGTGGAGCAAAGTATACTCTAAGAGTCAATTTTAGGACCTGTGCCTTTCCTTTTTTTTCTGAGTAACATACCTTTCCAGGTTCATAGGTCAAGGGTGGAAGCGGCCGGGCTAAAGAACGAGGAATTAGATGTAAGCTCGGTATGAAGACATCGAGAAATACAATAGCACTTGCTTGCTTGTGTGCTTAATTACATGCTTGCTTAATTACTGACTCGCCACCACAATAAAAATCTATCAGATTTTCTATCCAATCACTTTTATACTGGCTGCGTAACAGCCATCGTTAAGGAAACAGAAAAAAAAATAAATCAAGACATTCCCTAATCTGAGGTCGTCTTCGCATGCCATCGCGTTGAAATAACAACGATGAACAGGCGACTTTATGGCTTCATTGTTTTTTGTTTGTTTGTTTGTTTTTTAAGAAAAGGGATCTTTTTTTCTACACGAAATTGCACCGAAACCCTATTCGACCTCAGGTCTGACAATTTTTCTGGCGAGTAGTTCGCTTTGTGTGGTCAATCGCCAGTGGCAAGCAGTGTTTGAATTGGATGGTTTCCACAACCGAAATGTCCCTTTTTTAAGTTTAGCTGGTAATCGTTTGGCTCTCTAAGCTATACGTCTGTACTTAAAATACATGGCTGTTACTAAGGACCTCATAGGAAGATCCTCTTAAGCCCCAGTAACGTCGCTTATGTTAAAGATCTCGTTTCCGGTGATCCCGTCTGAAGCTGTCGAAATAGAGATTGCCTCACTAATTGCCACTGAAGAGGTCACGGTAAGGTCGAATGCTGTTGTTTAAAGCCTGGCGTCTCGTGACTTCTTTAAAATGATTGTTTCTCGATGCACCACGCGAATTTTAGTTGTGCACGCTAGGATAAAAAGAATCTAGATTCCCTCTTTAAATGTATAAAAGGGTACTCATAACTTATCTCCAGACGAGGAATGGAAACGTATCCCTGAGATTATTCTGGATCACGTGAGGCTGAAGTTTGTTTTCTAGACGTGTACCGATTGCTTGACGTCATCATTACCAAAGAAACGTTTACAGACTTGGCAAATGCCAAGAGAAGAGATAAGAGAAAAAAAAATAGATAAACAAACTGATAAGAAGTGATTGACATATAAAAAGATAACTTAGCTATAATGTTGACAATATTGCAGGCAGCAAGAGCAAAGCCCTGATCATTGATCAAGGTACCCACAATTGAGATCAGACTGTACCCTACCACTGACAGCGTTGTATGAAGTTGGGGTTCTTGGTTTTCTATTTGTCTGAAGAGAAGTGATATCCACGATAAAATGATCAAAGACTGAACCCTTTGATGTATTCGTGCAGTTGGAATACCACAAATGGACGCGAAATTAAAGAGAACAGAATAATTTATGGTTCTCTTTATCCTAGTTGGCAAAATAATACACCCCTTTCAGGCGAAAGCGAAGTACTCCAATGCCTGTTTTATACGAGATTTGATGCAGAATTCTTAAAAAGCAATAAAGATAAGTTTTTCGATGGCATCCTTCTGACAGCAATGGGTCGTGACTGTTTAAGATTCATTTTGGTTGCACGCTCGTAGCCACAGAGCTTCTGGAAACTTGTGATAAACTATATTTATCATCTAATGAAGGTGCTGTAGCAGATGTCACTGAATTTGATTTGCTTTCATTTCGCTAAGTTTTCTGTCTCCCTAATTGTTCATCAAATCGGTAATCTTCCAGTCACCACCTAAACGCAATTCTTAAGGTGGTCGGGCTGAACAAACAAGTAGTTATAAAAAGTTAAAGAGAACAATGAAGAAAAGAAAAATAATATTACACTTCCTGAACTCCAAATGGTGTCCTGTATCACGGGGCGGGTTGGATTTCAACCTGTTGGAGGGGGCTCGGGTCTTAATCGATTTTTTGAAAATTTCCGACCATCTCGTCCTTCTGCTCTCTTCACTCAAAGCCGAACACAATGAAATAAAAACTTGTACATTTAATGATCTTTACTGCGCAAACAATTAATTTACAAACCTTAAGAAAGTGTTAAAATGTTTTTTCTGTTGTTGTTGAATAAATTTCTAAAAAAAAGACAAATTAATTTAGTACTTGCAAACCCTCACCTCAGAAAGCTTTTTCTAATTTTAACATCCAATGCAAGAGAGGATAAACGATACCTTGTCTTATAATTACACACTCTGTGCTATAATTATCCAACTAATAGTACCAGAGATATCCCACGACATAGAAATAGTGTCATTATTTCAAAAGGGAAATGTGATCGTTTGTCTCACGATGTTGTCACTTCGGATGTGGATCGCGACATTTCGACTGCATGCTGCTAGTCTTCTTTAGGCCCGTGAAATTAATATTTATCACGTTGACTTACTAAAACCTAGTATGATTATTTCCGCTTTGCAATTAAAAAGTGGACGCATAAATACATGTCGATAAATCTTTTTAGTACTTACAACGCAAATTTACACTAACATGGCACAGCATAATTTGCATCGTGTATCAACAAGGATAAAATCTGATATCACAGCAAGGTAGTCAAGATTATGCACCTATCATAGGTATGGTGAAGCTTCTATTTCGAAGCAATAACAAAGCAATTACCCAACTGTGTTTCCACATTAGCAGTCTCAATCTTAAAGGAGCCAATTTTACAGTAGTCAAGACTTTCGTAAACGAATACACGTTTCAACGATATCTTGTAGTCATGTTATAAGATGTGAAAGAGGTCAAAAGTAATGTGTAAGGGATTTGTTTTTCGTTTGCTTGTCTTTTTTCCTCTTTGTACCCTGCTTTTTTTCTGTTTCATTTTTTTGATTTTTGGTCTGTGTTTAATGTTTTACCATTTTTTTCTTCTGAGGAGATTATTGAAACGAATGACAATGGCGAATTCATGAATTTGGTCAAATTTGTGGTCAATTTGTGGCAATCGGTGACTTAGCGTCTTTCCTGTCTCATGACTACTACAGAAGACCTGTAACATTTACTTACTAATGCCAACTTATCTGCGTATACGACAACTTCTATCAAGCCATCCATGTCATATTTGAGCGAGAGGAGAACGCCAAAAGCTTCATCTCGAGCAAATGGTGGGGAGGAAACCAAACCGACTGTAATCCAACTCTATAATCGTTTAAAACTTGTTGAAACGTGATAATTGCAAGGGTGAAGTTAGAATGTGATATATTAGAAAGTCAAGGTAATTAGAGTATGAGCAAATTTTAGTAGACAAAAGAAACTCCATGAACATTTTTCTTCCCAAAATAATTCCATCTGCAAGAGCAGTCGCAATAGCTGAGAATATATCTTTTGGCCTTCATATTGAATTAAACAGTCATGATGTCCAACGGGTATAGCTCTTGTCTACGTGATGCAACGTTTCTCATCATGAGGGGAAGGTTTAAATGTCCCTCACAAAGGTCTGGTTTACCCGCTGCCTTAAAAATCTTTTTCTTTAAAGTTTAAGGAAGATAATTCACCAAATTACTGATTATGAGGAGGATTTGAATCTTTTGTAGAGAGAAAAGGGAAAAGCAGCTAATGTCATAACACGAGTTCAAAGTGATAGTATTGCAAATCGCTAAGAAGCGTTTTAGGATAAGGAATAGAGGTTCTGAGTTGGAAGCCGTATTTCTTGTACAGTCGAATGGCTGGTGTTTGTGCACTGGTGGTGGTAAGCACAAGCTTCTGGAGTTGCTGATCCTTTGCGAATTTGATCAGTTCGTCGAGCAGTTTCTTAGCAATTCCCATTCTTCTACAGGCTGGTGACACAGACATCCTCTGAAGTTCTGCCACTCCTGGTTTGTGACTTTCCTTGTGAATAAGTCCAACCATTCCCACAACTTTACCATTCCACTCAGCCACCCACATGCGACATTTTTCACTGGACATGTAGGATTTTCCAATATCCTTTAAGTCCGTTGCTAAACAGGAATCGATGAACTTCCAGCATTCAATATACAGAATAAGATACAACCAGGCAGCAAAAAAGACACAAGTAATTACAAGAAGAGAGAAGATGTTTGCAGTCCATTGGAATTTGATGACGAGAACGAAAACAAGTATGCCCCAAGCCGATAAAATCCAAAGATATTTTGGGAAAACATTACGCACTATTAGGCTGATCAACTGCTCCATTCCTTGTGTGAAAATCTCTTGGCAGTCGTGAAGGTCTTGGTTTTTGAATTCCCTTACTAAGACTTCGTTACCACCTCCAATCACAGCGAAATTTTGTTGCTTTGCATTCATCTTACCAGTATGAATAAGGTTAGGAAGTCTAATGAAGAGACAAGGAAATTAAGTCAATTACAACTGAAATAACTTGTCGCATTTACTTGTCGAGTTTAAACGCTTGCTTTAACGTATTTCGTTCGCTTTTAATGCAATTATGAAATGTCATCTTTCCCTTACATTCAATTGCAAAGTAAAATTAAAAGCCTCGTAAAGAAAGTGAGGGATTCGTACTCATGGAGTCATAAGAAAGTTCCCATAAAAGTTTCTATCACAAAAACTTTATAGTTGGTCAAGAAGGAGCTCCATTGAAATTCGTTATGTATCGTTTGCTTAGGATAATGTGAAATACTTTCACTCAAAAATATGCATCTTTATCATACACATCTATTACGAAAGGTTCTTTCGTCCTGATTTCCTTAATTTCCAGCTCATACACAGTTACTGTGGCAAAGACTATACTAGACTGTGGCAAAGACTATAGATTGTGTGTCATTTCCTTAGTGAAAAATATCTGCCCATATTCATTAATGTAACTACGTATATCACTTTAAAGATCCAATGACACTATTGTGAAATACTTCTAACTTCCTCTGATGGGAGGGACTCTAAAAACGTTTCACCTTGGTACTCCTGCAGACAGTCAGAGCTATGCATCTTAGCCCCAAAAGTTCGAGATAGGTATATACGAGGGTAAAACCTTTCCTGTACATACATGTATCAAAAAACGGAGCTACAGTCAACAGCGTAGTCTAAATAGGAAAACAGAAAAAGTTTGGTGACCAAAATGATTTAGTGCAAAATAACTCACTTTCTATACCGGTTTGACTAAAAAAGTCTCCCTTTCGTCTCCTATTAAGAGAAAAACCAGTTAGTAGGGCAGCACTGCAATTAGTATAAATTAGTTTCGGGTATCAAATGATTCAATTTGTTTTTTCTCGTTTTAAACTTGTACGTGCTGGCATTGTAACTGAATACAGGCGACAACAATTTACCTTTGACTGACTAAAAATAACCTCATACCTTTCATTCTTCAATCAAGTACCCAAGAAGGCCACAAAAAAATAAAAAGAAAGAAAAGAAAAGAAAAAAATCCTACCAAGGCTGCAACCGTCTAATTTTCTTTTTTTAATACGTCGAAATAACAACTAAGGTCCATAAGTTTGAGTCTCATTTTTTTTTTTTTCACCAAAAGGAATAGACATGAATTAGAGTCTATTTCAAGTTTCAAGCCTTTTTCCCAGATCTCCACCCTTAACTTTTTCTGTAATTCTCGGAGAGCTTTTCTATGTGTGACATCGGACATAATCACTCCTCGAGAAAACTTTTTATCTTTTGTACGTTTTTTCTTCAGTCTGCTTACTTGTTTTTTGCATTTTTGTTTGTTGTTGGTTTCTTTTCGTTTTTTATATGTTTGCTTTTTGATGATTTGCTTTGAGAAATTTTGGTTAAAGAGAGTTTCTATTGGGATGAAATCTTCCACTGTTTTTTGGCAAAACAATAAAACTAAATTAGAAGACAAAAAGCATCAGACGACATGTGAAAGACTCACCTCATACCTTCCGTGACCGCTGAAAACTGTGATTGTCGCGACATTGGGGCGCTGACACTAAGCTGTTCCCCCTGTCTGTCTAACACGACATACCAAATTAGAAGGGGAAATTGATTAACACACACGAGCTTTTGAAAACAAAAGGGTAGGGTTCGTGGGCCACCACCGGTAGGTCTGGTCGGTTCCACGTGCAACTCATTGCCAAAGTACTTGAAGAATAGGTAAACAGTTAGTGGCAACCTTACGAAGAGAACGAAGTCCTTCAGATTCGTGCGAATCAGAACTGCTCGTTGTCTTGCGCCTTCACAGCCTGATGTTTCGTCGTTTCCCCAAAATGATCCCAGAATTCACGTTTAATTATACTAACTCATATGCGTGTCAACCGCCGAGATGCTTAACATGAAACTATACATTGTTCATCAGTTATAAGGGACACTGACGGCATTTTGGTGTATGTACTTTGTACCTTGCGGTTTTGTGGGATTATTGAGTTGAGAACTCACGTGAAGAATGGTTTGCAACTTCGAAACTTGTTTTCCATCACCTTCAGATTTATCAGGTGCAAAAAAATTGCCAACTTCCCAGGCTGATGAATTTTACTCCAATAAAATGAAAACAGTAATTAAAGATGATAATTATGGTAAAGTGATAACAGCAGATCCATATACTTAAGTTTTCAAGATCGAAAAACGATCCCTATTTCAGGTAAACCAAACTAATTTGAATGAAAGAAAAAATACTCCATTTTAGCATAAGCAAAATATGAAGACACAAACAAGGTAAAAAGTCCTGCCCTCGATTGTTCGAAGGTTGGATAACGCTATCCACTGGGTAAATCTCTTTACGGTGGATAAAGCAGGACATGTTGCAATCAGTTATCCACTGGATAGTGATTTATTAATTGGATAGCGTTATCCAACCTTTATACAACTGGGCCCTGGCCTAGAATTGGTTACGGCAACAGCACCGCATCGATGAAATTTCCATTAAGATAAATGGCACAGAGGTTTAATTATTTAAGACTGCGGAACAACAGATCCTTGTTTTTACTCATTGGTAAAGTAACTATATAGATCATAAACACACCTCCCCATCCTTTAAGCTGTTGTTTCATAAATTTGTACAGCAAATAATACATCGAATCAATTTGACGGAAGGTGTTGAGAAACTCGTATTTTCGTAAGAAAGGGTCGCAGTCATCGATCTTAGTGAATCACCGGTAATCGTGTCTCACTTCCACAATAATTATACTCAATTCCAATCTCACAAAACCCACCGAAATCAAGACCTTAACCACAGGAACCCCTGAAACCTTAAAATACACTTTTATGAGCATATCTCGTCTTTATATGTTCAGAAATGGAAGTTTATATTCCTTGCTGTTACACGTGCGGTGACGTAGACCCGCACGTAAATTTATATATATCTATTTCCACTGGAATATTCCTGAAAAGTGATACTTCCACGTTTTTTTTTTCTTTTGTGTTTTTGTTTGTGAAAAGACATCTGTATATCGGAATTTGTTATTTAAATGGAAACAATCAAATAACGATTACAAGAAATAAGTTGTAATTAGTATACTGTGGATTTTCTCGGCGGAATATGACGTTTGTGCATAAGAGCCAAAATTTCGTCATTAAAGAGACTTAGAAATCGATGACTTACATGTTTGTGCACTTTTAACTTCAGTTTGCGAACCGCTTCAGTTGTCGCGGTGTTGGATCAATTTTCAAGAGTCGAAGTGGGCACGCAAGTAACAGTAGATATCCCATGCACTGCATTCATGTCGCTTGTAACAAGCACCACGCAGTGGGGCACCTGGTAAATTTGGCTTCTGTGGAGATTTGATTCTCTTTTTTTTGAGACTTTTTAATGAGATAATCACTTGTGAACTTTACTGAAGTGAATTGTGACAAAAGAATGGGTAAAGGCCAGGCGACCGGTCTCAGACAGATTTACCTGATTGTCCGATTTTCATCAAATTTCGTATCCATTGGGTCAACTAGGAGAATCTTACCATCGACTCTTAAGAGAATGAAACATTCAAGTGATGATCGGCCGCATAAAACCTGCTGATTTCAAGAATATGTTACGGGACCCCAACTAATTAGGTTGATGTCTTATTGTTTCACCTTTTGTTCACTATATGGGTTCTATCGGAAAGACCAAACTAGTTGAACTTATGGAAAACTAGCAGGCGCGGGTTTTTCTCGGTAAATAGAAGCACCTGTACGTATCACTCTCGTTTTGCCATGAACACCATAATTTAACGCACACTACTAGTTGACAGCTGCATTTAAAGTGAATGTAAATTGATTGGATTAGAGAGCTCTTCAACTGACAGATGGACTAATGTATTTAAAGTTTGGTTGAACGCCAAAATGACATTCCTGATGGGAAAGATAACGCTTTTCCTCAACATAAATTCGCCAAGAACTCGTGGTTGCATAAAGATCTGCATATGCGAGTATGAAGTCAATACCGCGACTACGCACCTGCTAGTTGGAATTGGACAAGCATTCGGCCGTTTTTATTTTTAATTATATAACGACGTGTCTTAAACACAGAATTAAACACTGGATTTAATTCACTAAAGAGAAAGAACTTCTATATGTAACAAGTAAAAAGAATATACAAAACAGCAGCTAAATTCCACAAAGGCAATCTAAATTCAAATTACCCCAGTCAATGTGCTCTATATTTCTTTCGCTTTCCACTCGCATTTACAGGACCTGACACTCACGCAGTGGAATTCCTTCAAAATGTCCTCTTTACAGCATATAAAAATGTTCCCTAACTGAATTGCACGACTTCTAGACGCTGATCTCAGGTGAGTCAAATTATTTACAAGTTCCAATCATACAATCGACCAAAACTGAAGCAATCAAAAGCACTGTTTATAACCAAAGGAATCCACCTCCGGTTTCTTCAAGTTGGCGAACCATTTTTGATGACGATGAAACCATGATAAAACATCCAAGTAAAATAACGACTAAACTGTACTCCATGAGCAGTTCTTGAGCCGTTAAAATTCTGGACTCAGTGGGGAATGATCTCCTGCGTAAGGAAGGTATCTGGTTCATTGTTCGTAAGTCCGTGATCAAATCTTTTGGCTCGAGAAAGGTTGAATCTGGCAGCAATATGACAACTTTATCCCAACAGAACTTGTGCGGGAGAAGCAGTATTTTAAAACCATTCATGGTTGTAACTGTATATTGCAATTGGTGCTGAACATACGCACACCACCAACGGCGATGTCAACATTTTCGATAATTACTCAGCTCCCAAAAGCGAACTGCCATGACACTACAAGAGAAACCTAGGCTCCGCCATGTCCATCAGCTGTAAAATTGAGGTTGTCTCTACTTAACAAGACAGAATTGATTAAAGGAAATAATGATATCTGTACATTCAGCAAGCTTTTATTATCTTGAACAATCTACTACTTCTGTCCTCAGAAGTTAACCATCAATTTTCATTTACTTACGTAACACCCCAAAATTTTAGCTCATATTCTGATAAATTTCCATCTGTGAATAAAAAAAAAACCATCTCTAACCTTTTGCTATGAATAAATTGTTCCCACGTTTTCGATTATATCGAGTTATTTAGAATTATTACGACGGAAGAGCTCATGCAGCGCACTACGATCTTATACATTGCAACGTCCTATGTTTTAAGTTGCCTAAGTGCAGGAACGCGTTGGAATGTTCAGTGGTCTGCCAATAAGATAATGAAAAAGGATATCAGCTGTCGAAGAGCAGTATGCTCACCTAGAGTGCTAATAAGTCAAGTTTTCAGGGAAAATGAGCCATGAAATACTAATATTATAGCTTAGGTGATGAGAGGGATATGCGACTTCTGATTGGTTAAGAATTGCATTACATCTGATTAACCAACGGCGAACATACCTTAATAATGTGCGTGAAGAATGGATAAATAAAAGATTTATGAGTAACTCTAATGACCAGAATTGAATATATATTTCGCCTTACCATGTCATATCATACCATAAATTCAATTTTCTCCTCAAGCATAGTCTCTGCGGCTGTTTTGTCGTTAACTACAAATATAAAGGAATTTAAATTAAGTGACACCGTATTAACTGGTCACCCTGTATCAAACGGCCTGTTTGTATTGTCTCCTATTCGTATTAAACGGTCACTTAAAGCGTAACTACTTAAATAGAACTAGGAATGACCTCTCAAGTAAAATTCAAGTAATCACAACCACACTTTGTTTGTGATCAAATTTCTAAGGTCTACGATCTGCAAGTAAGGTCTACGATCAAATACGACACTGGCCTTTATTCTCGACTTTTCCATTATATTTTAGTCCGTCCAATGACTATGTGAACACTCTACTTTATGAAATCTTACTCAACTGATAGATCCCGGGTAAAAGGATAAAATTCATTGGAGAGCTCGATATATTATGTATTGCTCATGATAAACTCGCTGGTCGATTTTTATTTGGACCGGGACTAAAGATTTACATCCTTGCATTTGGCAATGAATAATGATGATGATAAGACTTTTTCAGTCCCAAATATAATCCTCTTTCTTTCATATTCACTTGAAAAAAACTGAGCTGAAAAATATATACGTATGTAAACGATGCGTGTAATGTGTATATATGCATATAATGATGAATAATGCGTATAATCTTGTATACCTCTACCTTAAACGAGCGTAATAGTTATTTTCATCTTTATCACTTTTGTTTTTAATTATCAAGAGAACTTGTTATTATCTGTGTGTGAATGTGCCCTCTGGCCTCGTCAACATATGTGGAGAACTTTTATCCGAAGCAGGGTCAAAGAGGCTGAGATGTATGCAGTTCTTAATCAATGTGACAGTCGCATCCTAAATATGTCTAAGAAATCGATGCTTACGTAACCTTTGGGTGGCTTTTTCCCTTTTTTCCTCAGTTTGTTCAACTGTTTGCTCTAAAAGCCGAAAAACAACCAAACAAACCAACGGACAAAGAAAGGTGACAACCAGCGAACTACGTCCAGGAGAAACGCTCGTACAATGTTTAGCCA